GTTGAATGCCATTTTTTCTTTTCTTTTTTTTTTTTATTAAATTTATTTATTTTTTTGAATTGATTATGCTGTTACAGTTGTTCTATTCCCCCCTCCATTCCCCTCCACCCTGCCCCCCCAACCCCACCATTACCCCCCTTTAGTTTATGTCCATGTGTCTCAAGTCCTTTAGGTTCTATATTTCCCAAACTATTCTCGCCCCCCCCATCTATTTTCTATCTACTGTCTATGCTACCTGTTTTCTGTACCTTCTCCCCCCCTCTCCTCCTCCCATTCCCCTGTTGCTAACCCTCCTTGAGATCTTCATTTCTGTTTCCACTCCTGCTCTAGCTGTCCTTTTAGTTTGCTTTCGTTTTAGGTGTGGTTGTTAATAACTGTGGGTTTGTTGTCCTTTCACTGTTCATGTTTCTTTATCTTCTTTTTCTTAGATAAGTCCCTTTAACATTTCATATAATAAGGGCTTGGTGATGATGAACTCCTTGAATTTGGTCTTATCTGAGAAGCACCTTATCTGTCCTTCCGTTCTAAATGAAAGTTTTGCTGGGTAGAGCAATCTTGGTTGTAGGTTTTTAGATTTCATGACTTGGAATATTTCTTTCCAGCCCCTTCTTGCCTGTAAGGTCTCTTTTGAGAAATCTGCTGACAGCCTGATGGGGACTCCTTTGTAGGTGACTGTCCCCTTAGCTCTTGCTGCTTCCAGGATTCTTTCCTTCATTTTAATTTTGGCTAATGTAATTATAATATGCCTTGGTGTGTTTCTTCTTGAGTCCAACTTTTTTGGTACTCTCTGGGCTTCTTGGATTTCTTGGAAGTCTATTTCCTTTGCCAGATTGGGGAAATTTTCTTTTATTATTTGTTCAAATAGTTTTTCCACTGGCGGTTGTGTCTTTCCCCCTTTCTGGTACCCCTATAATTCGGATATTGGAGCGTTTAAAGATGTCCTGGAGGTTCCTAAGACTCTCCTCATTTCTTTGAATTCTTGCTCCTTGACTCTTTTCTGTTTGTCCATTATTTGCTTTCTTCTGGTCCACTGCATTGATTTGAGTCCCAATTTCCTTTTCATCTCTATGGGATTCCTGTGGAATTCCATTCATTTCCCTTAATTTAGCCTCCATATGTTTCTCTAATTTGTGGCTGTAATCCACCAGATCTGTGAGGAAGGTGATGACCAGTGTTTTAAACTGTGCGTCTGAGAGTTTTGCTATTTCTTCGTCATTTAGATTTATCTCTGGGGCTTTGAGTTCTGCCTGCGACATTTTTGGTCTGTTCTGGCCCTTTAAGTGGGACAAGCGGCGCCTTGGAGTCCCAGGTCGCTGGGTTGTGACGCTGTATGTGGGGGCGTGGTCAGAGCGGGAAATGGCGCGCCGCCGCCGCCGCCACCGGGCGGTCCAACCGCTCACTCCCTCACTCGCGCAACCAGGCAACCACAGTCAACTCGTTGCCACCGCCTCCCCACTGTGTCACTCCCCCGGTGGGCTGCTCGGTGGCTCACTAGGTCCAATCCTGGGTTTGGAACCCGCGCGACTGGATTCGCGCGTCTGGATTCCGCGCCGGGGTCCGACCGAGCCCTCCTTTGTAAGTCCTCACCCGTCGCCGGTTTCGCCCCTTACCGGTCAGGCTGAAGAATTTGTTGTTAGCGGACTTCCGAAAAGTTCAGTTTTCCGTGTTCTGGTTGTGTTTTGTGATGCTAATATTTAGTTGTCCCTAAACTTGGTTGTGTGAGGAGGCAGGCACATCCAGCTAAACCTCCATCTTGGCGGAAGTCCCCCATTTTTTCTTTAAGAGCAGTTCCTGCCAGTGTAACCTGTGGGGCTAAGGATAAATTTCTTAGTGCATTTAGTGTACCACGAGTGACCGAACCAAAAAAGAAAAACACAAACAAACAGGAGTTCCCTTCTGGAGGACAGGTCCCCTGTGGTCCAGCCTCCCCCACTAGGCGAGAGTCCCAGGAGCCCGTCTGCATCAGTGACCAGCTGGCGTTGTTGTGAGAGGCTGTGTCGGGCCTCAGTGAATTTTTTTGATGACTGTTCCAGAGCGTTGGCCCAGTTCACGACGGCTGATTTACCAGCCCACCTGCTCACCTGTGCTGAGTGTTCAGCAGGTTGTGACCCAAAACCCACATGCCCCACCCTCCCTATTCACCCGATCTCAGCCAGAGCAGCTAATTTTTTCTTTTTTGCATGAAAAAAGTCCCCATAGGGAAACATCCCGACATGTAAGACATGAGACAAAAACAGCAGAACCACTAAGAGGCGTCAGAGTCCCCGAGGCCACAGAGTGTTCAGGGAAGGGGAGGAAGGTCCCCACGGGTGAACCATATCCAGGGTAAAGACTGAAGGCTAAAGATGTGAGGATAAAAACGGGGTTTTTGTAAGTAAATTCTCTTTCTGGGTCGGCCCTGTGTACATGCAGCCAGACGCTTCCACAGGTGTCCACAGTCACAGGAAACAAAGGATGTAATTACCATTGTGAGTTATTGAAGTTTCATTCATCTACGTTTTATATTTTAAAATGGTCTATGATAGAAATGAAAAACAAAAAATATCCTCCAGAATACGTGGAAATGTGTTCCCTACTCTGGAAACTTTCAGACTTTACACCATTCAGATCATTTAAAGCACAGGGTGCAAAGGCCCTGGGCTTCTGCCCTGGGTGACAGGGACCCCCTGGGAGGGGCTGAGCAGGAGGGAGGTGAGGGGGTGGGATGCTCTGGCTGCTGTGCAGAGCTCGGCCTGCAGGGGGCAGCAGCGGGATCAGGGACTCAGAGCACAGGGCCTGCCTTCCTCAGAGGGTGGTCAGGGGGCAGGCACCTGGCTGGGGCAGGGAAGTGTGGGCAGGTGGAGGGCTTCTGAGCAGGTTGGCACAGGAGAGCCTGGTGCTCCCTGCTGGCCAGGAATAAGGTACGTCCATTACGGCTCCATGTTTCCTGGCTGACTTCCATGGTGGGATCCAAGGTGAAGAGACGCCCCAGGGGCCATTTGCAGAGGAGGCTCTGGGGTCCCCAGTGATGGTGGTGGTGACAGGGCCGGGCCTGGGGAGGCAGCCTCTCCATGTGGCATTCTCCTTCCCCTTCCAGGTGGTCACTGCTCCCCAGGCCCTGCCGGCCTCTCTCTGTGCACAGCAGGTCAGGGTGGTGCGGTGCCTGGTCCCCCATCTGCCTGCCCTCGCTGTCTGCCTCACCCTGGTCCAGCTGCACAGCCCCTGCTCAGGTAGGACCTGCCCTGTGTCTGTGTCTGAATTCCTTACCTTTGGGCCCAGCCAGAACCCGGGACCCCTCCCACCCCTGCATGGCATGTCCTCACTGCACCTGTGTTAGGACTGAGTTCCCCTGTAGGTGTCTGTCACCTTGCCCTCCCTGCCTGGGACATGCCCTGGCCCTGCTCACTCTGACAGAGCCCCCCCTTTCTGATGACCAGCTGACTTTGCTGTGGTTGGACCCCCTGAGCCCATCCTGGCCATGGTGGGTGGAGACGCTGAGCTGCCCTGTCACCTGTCCCCGAAGAGGAGCGCTGAGAGCATGGAGCTGATGTGGGTGCGACCCAGCCGCAGGCAGGTGGTGCTCACGTACGCACACGGGCAGGAGGACACGCCGGCAGAGGAGTATCGAGGGAGAACTTCGGTTTTAAGAGAGGGACGTCACTGCGGGGACGGCTGCTCTGCGGATTCGCAATGTCACAGCCTCAGACAACGGGACCTACGTGTGTTACTTCCAAGACGGAGATTTCTATGCAAAGGCCCAGGTGGTGCTGCAGGTGGCAGGTGAGCCTCAGGTTTGCTCTGGGCTCCTCTCTGTGGGCCGGGGGCAGAGGCTGCAAAGCTGCCCCAGAGCAGGTGGGGCTGCTCACCAGCAACCCCCCCACCTCCATCTCTGCTCCTCTGAGGCCCATGGCAAACCCAGGTGTCCCCTGGGGTAACTTCATCCTGTATCCAGTACAGAGTCCCCCGTGCCACCCACCAGTCTCAGCAGGAGGCAGGAGGTTGGGGATGGGAAGGATGAGGACACCTCCCCGCAGTGGGAGGCATATGGGAGTTTGGGTTCAGTGTGACCCAGACAGTGGTGGCTGAGGGTCCCCCAGGTGCTGGCTGCTGTGGGTGCAGGAGGCTGAGCTGCAGGGACAACACCTGTGGGGTCCACGTCCCCTGCCGAACCCCCGGGAACACACGTGCAGTTGATCAGGCTGTGTCCGTCCTCGGTGCAGGGAGGGAGGCCGCTCACCTGGGGACGGGGACGCCGGGGTGTCCCAGAGAGAGGGCGTCAGGGAGCACTCTGTGCGGTTTGGAGGGATGAGGAAGCAGCGCTGTGCACTGGTGCCGACGCTGTCAGGATGGTGCGGGGTTGTCACTGGTCACTCTCAGCCGGCACAGGGAGGTTGGTCACTGCACACGGTTCCTGTTTCCTCTGTGCTGTCACCCAACCCTTGAGTGACCTTGACGTTGCCCTGACCCATCCCAGTGACCAAGCGCCTTGTCTGAGGTGCTCATGTCCAGGCGTCTGGGCTACAGTTTCCGTTCCCTGGACACAGCTCTGCTCTGTGGCTTCCAGTGCAGGGGGCCTGGTAGGGCATGGACGGTGTGGCCCCCTGGCCTTGAACCCCACGGCTACCTCCTCAGCCTGCTGTCCCTTCCTGGAGACCATGGCTCCCCTGATGGAGCCCTCCTTACAGGACTCGGTGTTTCAGGTCCTCACAGGGCTTCCTCCCCATCCTTGTGTTCAGGGGTGGGGACAGGTGGCAGTGAGTCCCCTCTGTCTGGCCCTGGGTCTGCCTTGTTCTGTGTGAAAGTCCTCCCTGCACACACTTCCGGGGCGTCCCTGCAGGGGGAGCCCAGCAGCCTGGCAGTAGGTGCAGCCAGAGCCTCCCGAGGGGCCTTGCACACAGGTCACCGCTCGGGCGGCCATGGGACACCGTGTGTCTCCTCCTGCTCACTGGACGGCATAGCCCCCACAGGACAGGCAGGGCAGATGGGGCAGTGGGTGGGACCCCCTTGGGTAAGGGGCACCACCTCCATGCTTGCCCAGGGTGGGGGAGGGGCTGTGCCTGGGACCAGCTTGTCTGGGGCATGGGGGAGGAGAAGCTGGGGCAGTCTGTGAGGGGACTTACAGGGAGCAGCCTCTGCTCTGGCCCAGGTCCCCCTGGATCCAGTACAAGGGTCCAGCCATGGTCAGGCAGTGTCCCCATCAGAGGTCAGTGTGTTGCACAGCACACGCTGGGAACAGCTCCTGGTGAGTCCCTGCTGGGCTGGTCAGTGTGGGTGCCCCTCCCTGCTGTGGAGACCCCATCAGTGAGGAGGGCCCCCACAATTCAGCTCTTTCCCTCCCCAGCACTGGGCTCCGATCCCCACATTGAAATGAAGGGCTACAAAGCTGGAGGGATCCATGTGAACTGCACGTCTGCCGGCTGGTACCCGCAGCCCCAAATCGAGTGGAGAGACGCCAGGGGACAGAACTTGCCTGCTAAGGCAGCGCCTGAGGCTGTGGACCCCCAGGGCCTTTATGCAGCCTCAGCCTCTGTGATCCTGGAAGAAGGCTCTGGGGAGGGGGTCACGTGTGTCATCAGAAACCCCCTGCTGGGCCAGGAAAGGTCAGCCATGGTTTCCATCCCAGGTGAGTGCCCTGCCCACTGCCCTGGACTCCTCGGTGCCCCTGGGAGGTGGTGCAGTGGTCTGCTGCTGGCCTGGGTCCCTACGGGACACAGAGGACACAGGGACCTGAGGCTCCTTCCCCTGAAGCGGTTTATGTCACAGACACCTTCTGAGCACTTCCTGTGTGTCACACGTGGTGTCAGGCAATGGGACTTGGGGACACATGGTGGAAGATCATACCACAGGAAAGGGGGAAATATGTGCATCCGAAATCTTAATGAAAGAGCTCATCTTCTTACAATATAAAGGACACAGTAGATAAAAGAGCAAAAATGGGAATCATCAGTTCAGAGAGAGGTGAAACTCACAGGAAGATGCCAAATCTGAGGGAACAGGGAAGTATTTCCACCTGTGAAACTGGCGCAGAAGCGAAAATGAGGTGGTGGGCGCCCCCTGGTGTTGGGCTGTGGGGAGACAGACCCTCAGACCTTCGTTCTCACAGGTGGAGAGAGGACAGAGCATGTGCACAGTCTGCATAGGGGCTGATTTTGATGCAACAAGATAAAATATATTTAGTTTTCAAAACTTACTGAAACCGGTGTGGCAGTGACCCTGTGTCAGGCCTGTACAAGCATTAACTTAATGCTCTCACTTATCTGGACGCCAGCAACAGATGGTGATATCATTAGTTTAAGGTCACAGTGCTGCTCAGGCAGGAGACCCGGGACTGGAACCCAGGCCCTGCAGCCCCAGAGTTCCGATCTTCATCACCAGGCTCTTCTGAGTGGGGGGCAGATGATTAGTGGAGGGGTGCAGAGGCGACTTCAGTGACACTGCTGCCTCGTACTCGATCTGATCCCATGGGGGAGGCAGACGTTCCAGGAGAAAGGTACTTACTGGGTGACACTAAGAGTTCTGGGCACTCTGGGGACAGGAAGGTCATTTCAGGGGCTGACGCTACCCCTTCGCAGACCCCTATAGGAACGCAGACCCTTGGAGGACGTTATTCTTGGTGCCGGTGGTGGTGCTGGTTCTTCTGGTGGTCCTGTTGGGAGTGTCATACTGCCTGTGGCGAAGTCAGAAGAGGATCCAGGCCCCGTCCCAGGAGAAGGGGAGAGAGCACGAGCTGAGAGAGCAGCGGCTCAGGCAGAGCTGCAGGGGGTGGGAAGCGCCCAAGGTGAGGCCCAGCTGCAGGCGGCCGCCTCCTCCCTGCCCAGCCCACACCCACCACCCGGATCCTCCTCTGTATCCCCTGATGGGACTTTTTCTGTTTATTTGCAGAGATGCTGCAGGACGAGCTCAGTGAGTCCCCATCCCCGTCCCTGCTGGTCCCCAGACTGGGCAGCTCAGCCTTTCAGGTGGCATGTGCTCCTTCCACTAGAGCCCGGAGCGGCCGTGCTGGGGAAGACCCCGCTCTGCTGGTCTAGACCACGGGGTGCACACAGGGCTGCACAGGGCATGGGACTGGTATGGCTTCCTGGGGCTGCAGAAACGTGCTCCCCAACTTGGGGTGAAAGACACGGAACCGACCATCTCCCGGATGTGGAGGCCGGAAGTCTGATCCAGGTGTTAGGTGGGAGGTGGGAGGGGGGCTGGCTTCTTCTGAGGCCCTGGGGCAGGTCCCGCCCATCTTGGCACTCACCTCGTCTCCAGTGGCCAGCTGTCCTGGGTGCCCCTTGGCGTGGGTGCCCATCAGTCAGCACCGGCCTCCGTCCTCACCCAGCCTCTTCCCTGTGGGTCTGTCTCCTGATGACCCTTGGTGGGCACTGAACGCAGGGCCCAGTCTCGTCCAGTACGGCTCCCTCCCCTGCAAAGGCTGCATTCCCAGGTCCCAGGGGTCCGGATGCGGACCTGTCTTGCTGGGTCCAACCACAGCCCCCCTGTCTGGGGTGCCTCTCAGAGTTGGGGGCGGAGCCTGCACCTGACCCCACGAAGTACTTTCCCTGCTGCCACATGGCCCCAGCCGACCTGTCACATGAGGTGGCATTTCCCCCGAAGTGGTTGGGCAGGGCCATGGTGCAGGCCCATGCCACCAAAAGTCACAGCTTTGCTCTTCAGTCACAGGGAGGCACCCTGCCCAGGGACCCAGAGCACGGCCAGCCAGCCGCCGGTGGGGACAGCACACCACTGCTGGAACACCAGGGCGCAGCCAGGGTGCCCTCTGAGGACTCTGGGGCGAAGCTGCAGGAAGTGGTGCTCGCAGGAGGCGAGGCCTCCCCGGAGCAGGCGCTACAGACCCAGGTGGCTCCAGGGACCGGGACCAGGCTGGGGCAGGAGCCCTCTGTGCCCCAGAGCAGGTAAGGGTGTCTGGGCAGGTGTGACGGCAGGGCCACCTGCCTGTGTGCAACACGTGCCGAATGCATGCAGAGTGCAGGCAGTGCCGCCCTGTGTCCCCTGACTTTCTGTCTGAGTTTCCAGGGTGACCGCCACGCAGCTCCACAGACCAGGCAGCTTAAACAACAGAACGTTACTGTCTCCCTGTCCTGGGGGCAGAGTTCAAGTTCCCGTGGCATTGTCCCCGTATGTGTGTCCATGTCCCTAAACGAGGGCACCGGTCTTGTTGGGTTAGGACCTCATCTCCGCAGGTCACATCTGCCGCGACCCGGTTGCCTGACTAGGCCCCACTCCCGGCTGCTGGGCTTAGGACGTCCACATCTTTGGGGGCACAGTGCTACCTGTCACCACCCCTACCACACCTGTTGTCCCAGGGAACCACGCAGACCCAGGGACCCTGCTCTCCGAGGGTCCAGCGCTGGGAGGGGGCTGCCTGGTGTAGGCCCGACTTCTGGGCCCTGACCCCTCAGCCTCCACCGCCCACCGGCCTCCCAGGTCTTGCGGCCCCAGTGCCTCCCTCTGTGCCGTGTGTGTCCTCCACTGGGGGTAGGCCCGGCGGCCATGAGTGACAGAGGCCGGGCACATACACAGCACCCTGTGGCCCTGTGGGACAGATGTGGGCATCATGTCCAGCCTTGCCCGGGAGAGACTCACTGTCCTTTTTCAAATGAGGGGCTGTAACAGCTGAGTACAGCTTGACAGGATGAGCAGACATCCCCTGCCTGGCCCTGGGGAGCCGGACCCTTCAGGAAGGGGGGGACTGTGTGCACAGGGTCTCAGAAGGGTGCGGAGCCTGTCCAGCGTCCAGTACAGGCTTGGGTGTCCCTCCAGCGCAGGGCAGCAGGAAACTCAGTGTTGCCGGGGCCCAGGCAGTGTCCTGGGGGAGTGTGACCCAGAGAGCAGGTGGGCTGTGACCCCTGCTCCTGAGAGGCCGGGCCACGTGCCCAGACACTGACAGTGGACGGCGGTGTGGAGGCCCAGCTGCCCCCGTCCACGGCTCCCACCCCAACTTGGGAGGCTCTGTTTCCGCAGGAAGCCGCCTGCTGTCTCCTCTCAGAACTATTTTGTTCCCTTCTCTCCACAGCAATATGAACAAAAGTAGGTGTCGAAGGACAGGTCCCCTGAGAGTAGGTCACCCAAAGTCTTCCTTTATAGTGACCGTTCAGGGCTGTGGTCAAGACCCAGTGTCCTTCCTCCTGGGAAGCGGGACCCTGGGCCCGCAGGAAGCTCAGGGACGTCCTGTGGGCATCAGACTTGCAGCCCGACACTCACTGCCCACATCAGGGCACACGGGCCTCCCTCTGTCCAGTGTCAGTTCTGGCTGGGAGGACAGACGCAGGCGGCCCCACGTTACTGCGCATCCACGGGTTTCAGCAGGGATGTGAGTGGCCGGTGGGAAGGCCTGGGTGACTCTGGCCTGGTCAGTCCCGGGGGCTGCGTCACTGTTGTCATGGGCAGGAGGGTGCAGGCCTCCTGCAGCTCAGGTGACGGGCCAGGTGCTGCTTATACTCTGGCCCTCTGACAGCTCAGGGGGACCCCCCATGTGACATCTGAAGGTGGGGCAGTCTCAGCCCAGCGAGGTTACAGAGCTGGCCCTGCTGCCCCCACAGCCCCTCTGGTCCCGCTGCACAGGAGGGGGCCGCCTCAGAGGACACGTCACCCCCGGGGCTCCCCACCCTCGGGCCCCCAGGCCCTTCTGCCAGACTCACTGGTTCCATATGAAAGAGTGTTGGGACTGTCAGGAGCCCGGCCAGGTCACGTCCTACTGTGCTCTCCTGTCCCCGAGCCTGGTCCCTCCTGTGAGGGCAGCCTGGGCGCCCAGGGCCTCCCCCCACCCAGGGCGCCGGTCGCCAGCTGGACACTCACAGTGCTCAGCCCACGCCACTCCTGCCTTCCAGGAACGAGGCCAAGTCCCCCTCCTTGATTTTCTTTTCTCAGCCACGAACAGGGTCTACTTCGAATTCGGGCGAGAGGTTCCCAAAAGTTGCTGGAGGATGATCATAAGGTTGGCAGGGCTGGAGGAGAACAACATTGTCATTTGTGAGCACGAGAACCTGGGGAACCTGCCGGAGCAGCACCACGGGATGCTGCTGTGCTGGCAGAGCAGCTGGGGCGGGCAGCGGCCCCCCCCCAGGCTCATGGCGGCCCCTCTGTGAGATGCGGCTGCGGGAACGTCTGGGAAACACCATAAACAAGCGGGCTGCGGAGGATATCTCAGGGAGTGAGGACACAGAGCCCCGAACTAGTCAGCAAGGGCTGTGAGACAAGTCAGTCCGTGAGAGACAAACCAGCGGCCACTCAGCTGTCACTAGGTCAGCTGGGGGGGGGCATGGGGACAGTTACTGACAGGTACCAGCTATAGAGGCCTTTGTACAGTTCTTTAAGTGGTTAATTATATGTTTTTACTAACTTTCTTTACATACTGAGATTTGTATCTTAAATAGTATTTTCACATGCTTTTATACTTTTTTTCAGCAGTAAAATTTATATTCTAAATCGTGTTTTCTGTCATTCCTGTTACGTGAACAACTTTGGGTGTTTTGTCCTTGGGAGGTGACATCCTGTACAGAGTCATGGGCACCTTGGGTGTGTTTTGTGGGTGCAGGGCCCTGAATCAGGGACCAGAGCCTGGAGTGTCCCCTTGTGTGTTTTCTGGTGTCCCCAGGGCCTCTGTCCCTGGGAATGACAGCACCGTCCCTCCAGTGCTCCCCTGAGAACGCGCCCACCCTGCCCCTTGTCACTCACCCCGAGCAGCACCAGTCCTTGGAGATGCTCCCACACGGTCGTGCACTCCCGTGGGGCGCCGAGCACCCTCAGCCCCCACGTAGTCCCTCAGTGACGTCACTGCCACTCCAGCTGGCCTCTCCCACCCAGAACCGTGGGTGTCATCCCCACAGGCATCTCCCTGGGCCCCCTCACCCCAGGGTGTGGTGGTCCCACGTCCCTCCCCAGACCTGTGTGCCCGGCCCCCTAGGCCCTGCCTCCGCCTACGCTGCTGCCCGTCACTGACTGAGCTCTGTCCACTCCGGCTCCCTTCCTGCCTCCGAGAGTCCAGTCTCCTCCACTAGCACTGGACTGGGGGTCAGAGCAGGGATCTGGCCACCGCCCTCCCTGCACCCACCCTTACCCCCTGGGGTGGGTCTCTGCCATTCCTTGTGTTCCCCAGCCCGCACCCCAAACCCAAATCTCTTCTGGTGTTGCTGCGTGTGTTGTGGTCACAGTGAATTTGTCAGCAGCTTCCTTCTCCTGGGTTCATTTGCAGGACAGTCCACTCTGCGTGGAACGCACGCCCCGTCCACCCCCAGTCCCTTCCTCTAAGCCTCCTTGGAACCGGTCATCCCTCAATGCTGACTTCAACACACCTGCGCGAGATGACCGGTCCCTAACGCTGGCTTCTCTTGGGGGCACTGTGACCTCAGCACCTTGCTGCATGTGGGGCCTCAACTCAGGACTGTCCTACCTTCCAGCACCAAAGGTCCCGGAAACCTGGCCCAGGGCCCAGGCCACTGCCATTTACAGACTACAACTCCCAGCATGCAGAGGGACAACGGCGTCCTTGTCATCAGCAGTTGCCTAGGGACCTGGCGAGTCCAGTAGGCTAGCCAGGGTCCAGGAGAGCAGGTACACTGAAGGGCAGGGAGCAGCGTGCAGGGGCGCACAGAGGCCATAGAGGGACGTCCGGGACGGATTGCTCCAGGTTCTAGGAATCAGTTGCTGCTGTGCACGCCCGGAATTCTCAAGTGGCAGGTGACTCGAGCGAGCTAGGTGACTGTTCTCTATGGGGCTCTTTGGTGGTTGACCCCGGCCGGGTGTGTGGGGGGACTGGCCCCCGGACCAGGCATGTGGTGACCCCAGTCTCAAGGGGCTGGTCTCTGGACCACACAGGGCCCCCAGACAACCGCTGGTGCAGGAACAGAGGGTGGTGACCCTATGTGCCTGCAGAGCCGGTGGCTTTGGGGACACTTGCTTGTGGACACTGTTGTTTCCCTGGTCCTCACTGTGCACACAAGAGGCTTGGGAGCCCTGATTCTCACACCGGCATGTGGCCCCTCAGACCAGTGCAAGCCAGGCCCAGGATGGAGCCAAGAGCTGCCCGTGAAAATGGGAGGTTCACTGGGGAGCCTGGTGTTGTTGGTGGCACCTCGCCAGGACGGAGGAGTCCGGTAAGACACCTGAGTGGGACATCCTGGAAGAGGAAGGCCGGTCAGAGGTGGGGACACCCGGTGCCGCTGACCGCCTGGAAGCCTCTGCACCCAGCCAAGCACAGATCTGAAGGAGCCGGCCCAGGACATCCCCATTGCGACAGCCACCTCCCCGTGGAGACAGCCACCAGGTGTCCTTTCCTCCCTGACCAGTTTGGGCGGGATTCGGTGGTGTCTGAATTTTGGGCCTTCTCAGTCCCATGGCCTCTAATTTAGCAGGGCCAGAGCCCTCCGGGGCCTCCCCCAGAACGGGGAGAGGGGCTCCCTTCCCGATTCCGTGCCCGGCGCACTCGGCAGTGGTTGATAAAGCTCAGCACACGCTGGGGGGCCTCCAGAAGCCCCCCAAACACACTCCGGGTCCGATTTTCCTGACCTTCCAGTTCCGGGCCAACCCAGCGGCCTGACCGAAGCAGCACCGGGAAGGTCCTGCTGTCCTCTCGCGTGACCTAGCAGCCCTTCCCGCACACCCAAGGTCTCCCTTCCTGATCGTCCCCGGGCAGAACCCGCCACACTTCC